CAAAATCGCTAATTAATATTAAAAAATAAATAAATAATAAATTAAAAAAATAAATAAATGAAAAAATTAAATTAAAGCAACTTACCGCTATAGTCACTAATCGCTAATTCCACAATTTTCAACTGATCCTGAAATATAGAAATTTAAAAATTAATAATTATAATTTATACAAATTGACACTTTCCCTTTCATTTTGCTCTACTACCTTACCATTCTACTGCCTCCCACTACCTCTTACTTATTTCACTGCCTCTACTGCCTTCCACTTATCCTACCACCTTCACTGCCCTCACTGCTCTCACTATTCCAATTTCCCCCACCATACTACTCACTTAATTAAACACAAACCCTAAAATAAATTAAAAGTATATTAATAAACAACAAAAAAATAAAAAATAAAAAAAATATATTTACTTACTACAGCTGAAGTTAGTAAACTTGCTTTCTTCAGTTTTAAAGAAAGAAGTTTACAATGGTATATTGGCAAAAAAGATTATCAATTTATTAATTGATAATCAATTCAAGATCTGAATTCAGATCTGAATCTGAATCTGAATTCAACAGATCAGATCTGAATCCAAATCCAAATCTGACAGATCAGATCTGAATTTGAATTTGAATCTGATAAATCAGATTCAAATCTGAATTTGAATCTGACAGATCAGATCCGATCTGAATCTGAATTTGAATTAGATCTGAATCTAATAGATCTGATCTGAATCTGATTTATCAGATTCAAATTGGATTCAGATCGATCTGAATCTGATCCATTAGATTCAGATTGGATTCAGATCGATCTGAATCTGTGTAGAACACTAGTAAGAAGACCTGTTTTATTATATTTTTTAATAATATAATGGATAGCTGACTTTGAATGGCCCATTTTTTCAACTATAATTCTCTCAGATTTACCAGCTTTATAAAGACTGATAATTATTCTACGTTCAATAATTGTAAGCTCTTTCTTTTTAGTCATATTAAAGAATGTGAAAAAAAAAACACAAAAATAAAGAAAAAAAAGATTGCGATAATCATTTTTGATAAAAAAACTAACATAAATATTTTTTTGTTACAATAAATCACGTGTAATCATAATAAATTTGCAGATCATAGGGGTGGTCTAATACTTTTGGGTAGAGAATGTATTAAGCTCTTAATTTAAGTCAAAAATTTCTTAGAACCTGATTTTCCTAGAAACCCCCCTATTTAGTTATTTTAATAAATACATTCTTATGACCACATTTCTTGATTAAATATATTTAATTCGCAATTTTTGATGTCAAATCACGTGATTTCATCATTAAAATCTATGATTTATTGGTCAATCAATTGTATTATTTCCTTAATAAATTTAGAATTTTGTGTAATCAGGACGGTCCTTCCTGTACTGGGAAATGAATCTTTTGATCACAGTGCAGAATAGTATATTATGAAAATGAAGTATAATGTCCATTTTATTTTTTATCTCTTACTAACTCCAGCGTTTATACTACAGATTTGGGCAAGATCAGAAATCTGGTATATAAGAATCTTGTAGTTAGCATATTAGCAATAGAAATAGAAATTTTCTGAAATGTAAGAAATCAATGAATTAGGAACTCGCATTAAATAACCTAGGATACTTCCTTGAAAATATGTCATATACTATACATATTTCACTTAATTTTTCTTAATTGCATAAGAATCACTGCTAATATATTATATTACATAAAACTTTGTCATATTGAGCTTCGAGTATTTAATTAAATTTGCATATATCTTTATTTACATTAATTAAAAGAATTGATTAAAAGAAAAGGTTAAATAAAGCAATACTATAAAATAAATGGTAAATAAATCAAATAATTTCTGTATTAATATTTATTTTTTCTTTTTGATTTTTTCTTTTTTCCTTTTAATAGTTTTAGTGACTCATCATTTATCACAAATTCAATTGCAGTTTTTTTACCCTCTTCATACCATTTATTAGCTTCATCTTCAGCCTCTTTTATTGGTATCAATTCATGTATTTTCTCTTTGATATAGTAAAGATTTTCCTGGTAAAAGAAATAATTAATTAAAGCCTCTTTCATATTATTACCTCCACATATCATCATTTTATCTGTATGAGACCACATGTAGATAACGTTATCAGGGTCTTTTAACCAGAAAATTAAATTATAATATGAAAGTACAGGGCAAATATTAGTAATATTATAAAGTTCAGCAAACTTATTAATTTCATTACACAAAATATCTTTGTTTGTCACTTCACGAAATGGATAGTTATTTTTTAATAAATTAAAGAGTTTGGGCAGATCTTCTTCCTCATATTGTATTGCATCATCATTTGATAATTAATGCATAATGGCATTGTTTCTTGTGAATCCATATAAATTGTTCGCGTCCTTATTAAAAGGTCTTGCTTCCACTGTGACAGGTAAAACCATGAGTTGATTTCTGCACAGTTGCTGTAACCCCAGGGTATCAATGTCACCAACAGATTCCCATTCGTATCCTGTGAAAGCATGTGTTGATTCCTTGAGTCAAATTCCTGTCGTAGCTTTAATATCTTTTTTTTGACATTCACAAATCCTATCAATGATATTTCAAACGAAATCTTCTTTACTCTCTGACGATGTCTCTAACGGTTTGACTCTAAAAGATTGTTAATGCTGTAAGACAATACGTAGGATTTTCCTCCAAGAGTATTATTCAAGTTGACAGTTGATTTAGATGTTTGAATAGGTATTTTATTTGTTTCTTGAGATTCATTAATTTTCTCAGAACTTGAATGTTTATCGAGTAAAAGATACACAGGCCATTCACCATTGTGCTTGCTAGAACTCTTGCACTATCTATTTTTACTTCTATCCATCATGGATCCCTGTTCTGTTTTTGTAAATATCACTGTTTCTTCCGTCCAATCCTTCTGGAGTATTTGTACAGAAATTTAGTCAATAGTTATATAAAAAAATAATATACTCTAGATATACCGATATGGCTTTAGAAAGGTTTTGTACAGAAACCTTGATGTTTCGTTCCTCTTTGACAAAATTTTTATGTAACTCCATAACTAGAAAATAAATAATTTTTGTTAATTTAGCTTTGTAATTTTATAGGAGCGCTCTTCTTTAAAGGGATGTAATAGTTATTATATATATTTACTATTGTATTGCACAAATATTCTATATGCAAGGCATCTTATTAAAGACATTTAATTATCGGATGAGGTAAAGTTCTTCATTTGATCTGAATTAGTAATAAATAATCATACAATTTTTAGTCATGGGGAGTAAGTAACTATTACATTACTCAGATTACCAGCGACTTCCTTGCAATTTTGTTCAGGATTTTTTACTTTCGGTGAGTTTTACTAAAGTCAATATTGTTAATTCGTGATTCGTTTAAGAATCAGAGAAAGATTTTTATCTGGGTCTTCTTGAGTAATAGGCATTTTGGCAATGAAACGTTTTTTCTTGAGTGGGAAGAATATCAAAAAATATGCTTAGAATCTGAAAAATCCTTTTACATATTTAGAATAAGATCTATCTAGGGATGTTAATGTTTCAACCAGTTCAGTTTCAGTCTAATTTTTATCAGTTTAAGGGTAAAATTGAACTAGATTAGTTTGAGACCAATTTGAAGTCTAGACCGAAATTTAGATCAGAGTTTATATATATAGTATATTGTAAAATCTTTGATGAAACTATAAAAAAATTGTGTGATACTTAACATTCTCAATACAAAAATTTTATTATAATACAAATAAACTAAAAAAAAAGTTGAATTATACAAAAAAATTTTTTTTTTTGTGATCTATTATTACTAAAATATTATTCCTAGCAAGCTTTTGACCTGAAATAATTTTGTTTTATTTATGCTTCCTCACAATTTTTATAAATTTTCTACTATCCTTTTTTTTGAAATCTAATGCTTCATACAAATAATTGTCCTTGCTGTTTTAGGATTTAACCTATTTTTAACTTTTGAGATAGTTAAGTCTAAAATTGAAAAGGTTCTTTCTGATGGAACCGATGTCGCTTGAATCGATAAATAATCCTTAGTCATTTGAGACAATATTGGATAATCTTTTTCATAAAATTTCCACCAAATTAAAGGATTAGCACCACTATCTACTGGAGAATTTAGATATCTATATAATTCATCACATGTCATTCTTTGATAATTATTTTGATTAAGTAAATTAAAAAAGTGCCTGAGATGATAACTTTTTTTTTTGAATTTGTTTGATTATTTAAGGGAGAATATATACTATATAATTCTTATAAATTATTAATAATTTTAGCTAAGTTATTATTATCAAACTAGCCAGTAAATTTTCATCCAATATGATACAGACAGTAATATAAGAAATTAAAGAAATATAGTAGAATAAATAAAAATGATTTATTTAGTGTAACTGATAATATGAGATTAATTATAATATTTATGTTTAGAAAAAAGTTGAGATACATATTTTTATTTGATATTTTTAGAGATTTACTAAAAAAGTTATTATATAATGTAACATAAGAATAATTATATAACTACAAGAATCAGTGAGAATTAGTATTCGCAATGTGGTTGAATCTTTAATATTTTGAAATGACTTCTTAAGTCAAATTTGACTCTTATTTTTACGCATATCTAAAAGACAATCAATCAACATTAAATTTTAATTTAATAAATAATAAGCCTAATTAAATGTTAATCTAAAAGTAATAAGCTACCTAAGTCAACTTATCAAATCATTTACTCTTTACTTTTTTGGTTAACATTTAAATAAAATCACAAGTCATCACAAAAAGTAAGAAAAATCTATATATATAACTCACATCTGAAAGGAGGAAGAATAGGATATCATCATTCTAAATCTAATATATATTTACAATCATAGCATATAGATTACCTAATCAATTAGAATTAGGATTAAAAGTACTTTATATTAAATTCATGATCAAAATTGTACAGATCGATTTGACCAAAAAAAGTATCTTAGCCAAGTATTTGTTGATTTAAAATGGAAATTTCATGAGGATTATTAATATTTTTTATTTAAAAAAATTATATCATGAGACTCATATTATTGTGTATAAAGATCTGAATAGGAAAAATATAGGGTTTGTTTTCTTCTTTACAATAATAATGTAATTTTGTAATGCAGATCTAATACTGAAAAAATTGTAGAAGTGTAATTTAAATGATCATCTCAATATTTTTTTTTAATTTGTTATAAATAGCTGATACTATTTTTTTTTGTGTATAATAACCTCTTCTTTGATATTAATTCAATTTTTTAAACTTTCCTTAAGAAAATTTTAAAGTAAACAAAAACCAATTGTATATCACTTTATGTAGGATTAATGATAATGATAATAATTGGTGTTGCTTCATACATAGGTTATAAAATTAATGATAATTCCTAAAAATAAATAATAAGTATAAAATAAGTAAATAAATAATTAATTAATTATAATAATAAAATAATAAATAATAAATACCTTAATATGATTCTATTCAGAAATTGTTGAAAATAAATTATCAAGATCTTTAAAATTTGTTATTATAAGCAAATCAGAAACATTTTACATTAAAGTTTGTTTAATAATTATCAAATATATAAAATTTTAACAAGTATCTATATCTAAAATTAGCTTTAAAAATATAATCTTTCTAATAGTACAAATTTCTAATAATTTATCTAATAATAGTGATAAATTTTTAATTTAACAACAAATTAATAAAGATTTTTTGATTTTATCTCTATATATTTCATTTTAGTTTTTATTATCAAATTGATAATGTGAGCAACATATCAAAAATGAATAAAAGACATATTATTAAATTTTTGATCTAATTCAGCTGTTAATTGATTATTATATATTATCAAATTGCTTCAATTATCTATTATCATAATAAGAATATTTTAATTAATATTAAATTATTCAAAAAGTTGTGAAAGTTTGCTTGTATTTAATTCAACTCTATAAGAACCATTTATAGGAATTATATCAAGCAAAAAATTCTCAATTATTATTAATATAATAAATTGTTATTCTAAGATAACAACAATCTTTTAGATTTAATATTCATATATCTATTGTGAAAAATATTTTTGAATTAATTTGTGAAATTTCACCTATTATATTATTTTTTTTTGTATTATAATTTTTTACAAATTTTTTTTTTAAAGTTTGTCTATATAGTAAAATAAATTAAAAATTTAACTCATTAATAAACAATTTAAATTCAGTATTTTTAATAATAGAGAAAGATTGTAAATCAGTTGCAATAAAATTAATTAATGAATTTATAATAGAGTTAGATTATGATAAAAAAAATAGGATTTTAAAGCATATTTAATTCAAAGTTATTTAATAATTTTCAGTTTTTTATAATAAAATAAATGTTTTTTAGTTAAACATTTTCAAAAGGTAATTATTAGATTATCAGATAAATAAATTTTAGTACATAATATACATTTATAAGTTATTATAAGTTCAGTTTCTTTTTCTTAGACTTTAAAAAAATTTCTATACATCTGACTTGTGAGTTATTATATTAAAATCTTTTTTAATTGCTAAAGAAGTTAAAGAAATATCTGAGAAATTGTCATCAATTTCATTTCAAATTATGTAATATAAATAATAATTTAAATAGAAATTATTCTCATTAAAATAATAAATGCATCTTACAATTTACATAATATAATATTTATATAGATTGATTGTCTAAATCATTATAAAAACTAGTTTAACTTAATTCAGTTTTAGTTTAATTTAATTCTCAAATTGAACTAAAATCAGTTCTATAAACAAATCAGAATCAAACTAATCTGATCACAGATTTTAATATATCTAGATCTATCTAAGCTAAAACCTATTTCAAATATATTTTTCTTTTTTGAAATCAAATAATAACTTTCTTCAATTTGTAAATAAATCATAAATTAATTTATTTCTGTTATTTCAGACTCTGCATGTTTTATACATAATTGATGAATATTTTATTTTTAATGTTAAAAATCAGATTAAAGTAAATATTATTACATAAAAGAAGACATGGATGATAATAATCTAAAGGATGATATTGATCTCTAGGAAATCATATATATTATCTATGTCATCTATAGCATATATTTCTTTTATACAATATATTTATTATATATTATTTATTTTATATATTTTATTTATTATATTTATTTCTTTTATATCTTTAATAACTTTATATTTTTCATTTTATATAAATAGAAAACAATTTCTTTTAGCTTAATAGTATATCTGACTCATAGTTTTATATAATAGTTTAGTTTAATCTCTCTAACATAATTGTATAGTACAAAGCACCAACTGAGGTAGTACTCTATTGTTATAATTATTAAATAAACTGTTAATTTACTGATATTCTTCTAAATCTAAATATTAAATTAAACTTTCTGTTTACTATAAATATTGCCTCACTTATCATTCATAAGCATCTTAAAGAACTGACTGTAATAATATTCATCAAATAATTAAAATTGTTTGTGAAAATATGAAATTGTATCACAAGTTTGATGTATTTATTAAAGGTATATATATTACATTGACATTAAATTATAGTAATTAATTTATTTATTTTTATTATTTATTTATTTATTTATTTATTTTAAATTCTAATTACACAAATTCCTTCTGTTATAATTATTCTATTATCTACAAAAGGGAATGACAAAGCAATTAAAAATATAACTTACTGTAAGACTTAATTAACATGATAATACAAGCAAATTTAAGATTAATAAGTATTACATCAGATAGAGCAGCTAATGAATATAATATGCAACTTAAATTAATGAAGGGTTATAATACAAATAATTTTTTACAATATAAAGATGAAATTTACAATATAAATTTTTCAGCATCAATTTATGAAAATAAATCAATTATTAGAGTATAAGATCCTAAATATGCTAAAAAAAATTGTAGAAATAATATATATAGTAAGGCTTGTCTATTAGTACTTAGAAATGATACTGTTAGATATGATCAGATTTTTCACTTGTTAAAGATAATAATTCAGTATTATATAT